TGATTCACTCAGATGAGGTTGCTGAAGCAGAATGGGGAGTGTGACTATACAAGAAAACAAGAGGCTTAGTCTCAGTGCGTAAGAAATGTGGGAAACCTTTTTTTGTCACCTTTTTTTGTTTGCCAATTTAAGTTTGAGAGAAATCAGGTAAAAGGTGATGAATGTCAGTAGGATGGATGCTTTAAGATGGAAGCATCATTCAATTCTGGTCTGACAAGCCATCTTAAAGCACCAAACACATTTATCTACACAACTGGACACAGCCATAAAGAAACTATAGTATAGAGGCTCTGTTCAAAAAGAAAACCAAAAACCAATTCCTAAAAGTCAATTTAGGATGGTAAAAATGTGTTTTGTATACTGCCCTTACTAAAATATATATTATTGTATTTTCATGATTGAATTGAATCAAGGAAGTGGCCATTTTGACATTATTATTCACTCAAAAGAAAGTAACTGGGTTGCTCGGCTACCTAGTGATTTTAGGACTGTTTAACTGACTCTTGTGATGGGATAAGATTTTTCAATTTGATTCATCAACCTGACGTAGGCAGATCAATGCACATTTCAGTTTGTGTCAACCCTTTGACAACTGGTTCTCTTTCTGTGCAGAGCCTGTTTACTTTTTAAGTGGAGGTATCAGTAGTTTCATGCCACCAGACTGCCAAGGCACACAGGGGCTGGTCCGAGAAGCTCAGGGCGCAGAAAGAGAAAGAAGTAAGGCCAGGCGACTGGACTGAAAGCAAATAAGCTTGGGCGAACAAGGCTTGAAGAAAAGATTTAACAAAGCAGGAAGGGGGTTAAGCAACTAATGCTACAACAGAAGACATAGTCGAGTTATGTTGACTCAGAAGTTTGACTCAGTAATTCGCTAGTAAGCATATGAGAAACACTGGAAAAATACATGAACACAACACCGGAAGTTCCAATACATACTACATTTCAGGTGTGCCTACCATACCCCACCCCTTTTACCAATAATTATTTGTGTAAGATGGATAAATCATCGGAAGCCAAGTAATGACTCACCCATGTGGATATATGTTTTTATGATAT